CTGTTCGAATCTCGCTCGCGTAAATACCTCCCTAAGGTGTTTTGGCAGTTGTAACTTCAAATAGCTGTCTACTTGAAAAGTACGCTTGTATTTACTCAGCCATTTCAAGTTACCCACCTTACTAAGGATCGCTATATCATTTTGTGCTTCTATATCCTTAATTCTTTGGGCAGCCCTTTTTTTGAATTGTTCTCCTGTTCAAATTTGCAGATGACACCAAACTGGCAGGAGTAACCAACACCCCAGAAGACAAACTCAAGATCCAAAAAGACCTTGACAAATTTGAACAATGGGCCCTGTCCAACAAAATGAGTTTCAATGTGGAGAAAAGCAAAGTTTTACATTTAGGCAGGAAAAATCAAAGGTACAAGTACAGACTGGGCGAGACCTGGCTTAAAAACAGTAACTGTGAGAGGGACCTTGGAATCCTAGTGGACAATCACTTGACCATGAGCCAGCAGTGTACAGCAGCAGCCAAAAAAGCGAATACAATCCTGGGTTGTATAAACAGAGGCATAGAATCAAGATCACGTGAAGTATTAGTACCGCTTTATAAAACCCTAGTAAGACCACACCTGGAATACTGCAGCCAATTTTGGTCACCATATCACAAAATAGATGTTGAGAGTTTGGAAAAAATTCAAACAACAACTAAGATGATCAAAGGCCTGGAGACTAAAACATACGAAGAACAGCTGCAGGACTGGCTAGTCTAAAGAAAAGAAGAAATAGGGGAGACATAATAGCAGTATTCCAGTATTTGAGGGGCTGCCACAAAGAAGAGAGGGTTATGTTATTCTCCAAAGCACTAGAGGGCAAGACAAGAAACAATAGTTGAAACTGAACAAAAAGAGAATATTGGAATTCAACATTATATTAGCACAAGCAATAGAACACAGTCCAACTAGAGTCTTGGACTTCAAGAGAGCTAATTTCAATAAACTTAGAGAGAGTTTGGGAAGGTTTCCATGGATGAGAATCCTCAAGGAGAAAACAACTCAAGAAGCTTGGGAAATTTTGAAAAGTGAGATAATAAAAGCCCAGTCTACTACAATACCAATGAAGAAGAAAAATAACAGCTCTCAAAAGAAACCAACATGGCTGCATAAAGAACTGTCTGATAAATTGAAAGACAAAAGGGAGAAGTATAATAAGTGGAAAGAGGGGCACATAACTAAGTCAGAATATCAGCAAATAGCCCGAGCCTGCAAAGATGAAGAGATGTAAGTGAAGGCTCAAAATGAACTAAGGCTTGCAACAAAAATCAAAAATAACAAAAAAAGCTTCTTTCAACATGTAAAAAACAAGAAAAAAGTTAAGGAAATGATTGGCCCATTAGTGGAGAAA